TAAATCTAATTTATTCAAAGTTCTTATAATTTAATGAAAATTAATTATGCATATTTTTAATATTAAAATTATTACATTATAGTTAATGAGTTTGATAACGAATTCCTAGATTTTACTTGGAATTTAAAACATATTTTTTTACATAAATTATTCTATGTTATTATTTAAATTTAATTAAAATTTTTGTTACTATTTTTTTATGAAATTTTGAAATATAAACGAATTTTTTTGCGTAGATAGATACCAATACAAAAAACAGTTAAAATTATTTAATATTTAATGCGCAAATTTGAAAATGTTTTTATAATTATTAGACTTATTATTAAAAATATTAATATAATAAATACAATTTTCTATTATAATTATTTTTTGAAATTATGAAATCAATTAATAGAAAAATCATGAAAAAAAAAATAATAAACATCGAACTAACATATTAAATTATGAATTATCTTTGGTAATTATTAGATATACTGAGATAATTAAATGCAAAAGAAAAACAAAAAAAAGGATACAAAATGATTACGTGAAACGTAATATTTTATAACAATCATTTGTTATAACAATCAATTTTAAATAAAAATATATCCAAACTTTTTTGTGAGAAAAACAATTATTCATTTCCTTATATATATTATAATATATATAATATAATATATATAATAATATATAATAAGGTACATATATATATATATATATATATATATATGTATAGAATTCATGGATAATAATTAATTTTTTAATTAAATTTAAATAAAACAGATATGATATGATTTTACATAATTAATAATGTAGAAATAAGATACAGTTGTAAAACCAGCACTTTACAAATAATATTACATTTTTAAAAAAATAAAAGTATACATTTGAAAGCCATATACAGATATACGTATCCACCTGTAAACAAATTCTGTAAAAATCAAAATCTCTCTTCTCGTGATCGTAATTCGTGTGTTCATTAAATTCGACTATATTGCATTCTTGAAAAAAATGTGTTCATTATATAATAAATCACTTTCTATATGTATACAGTCACTTGATGAAAAAAAAGGTACAAGCTGGACTTAAAATAAATTTGAGAAATGTTCAAGATTCAAGACTCTTGTTGTAATTCAAATGGTACAAAAATTTGAATTATTTAATTGTTCATCAAATGATCAAAATATTGTAATATATTTATCTAAATAGATTTAGAATAATATCTTTATTGCTTACCTACTGTAAGTGTTATAAAATGATATAAGTTGTATTAAAATATTTGTGTCACTAAGCTATCATTTAATTGTAATAAATCAGTACTTTACATAAATTATTCGTTAACTCTTTGTTATATATACAAGGTGTTAATATATTTATTATTAATTAATTATGGGATATCTTTGGAAGGTCGATTTTAGAGATCATAAATATAAAAATATTTGGTTTACAAAAATGTCAGTTCAGAATTATT